AAAAGAATAACAAATTAGAAGGAAAAAAAGATTTAAAAAATACAGATTTCAGTATTCTGAGGCTCTGAGCCCCATTTCTTTTCCTCACAGACGACAAAAAAAGTCCGACATTAAACGATTTAAAATAAAAACAATAATCGTGGCTTGATATTGAGTAAAACATGTTTTTATGAACCCCACAGCTTCCGGTCTTCCAGGAAGACCGGAAGCTGTGGGGTTCATAAAAACATGTTTTACTCAATATCAAGCCACGATTATTGTTTTTATTTTAAATCGTTTAATGTCGGACTTTTTTNGAACTTCCCTTCACCCCAAAGTCAGCTTACTAGGAATGAATACATTTTATTGATAAGCTCAAAAGGACCTTTATCTCATTTACTGCTGGGTGACCCAAGTCTCAAGGCCTGCAGGATGTGTAGGAGATAAACATTAATTCTACAGGACTTTAACTGCCTTATATCTGAAAATGTATCTGGGAATTCCCCTGTTGATTGCAAGGACTATTGATAATTAACAGACAGACCCTAGGGGCCTCTTCTTGGTATCTGCTAGGCAGAAGTCACTCAATGCAGAAATCACAAGTTTAACACACATTCTATATAAGGTGACATTAAAATGAATATACCTGATTGAACTTTCCTGCCATAACACGTTACTTTAATACTTCAAATAATTCAAATAATACTTCAATATTTAAAAAAAATCTAAATTGAAGAAAATTAACATCAAAGTTACAAGTCAAAATGAAATGCAACCTGGAAGAAATAAGTTACTTCCATTATGAAATTGACAATGCAGTATTTTCGTATTGGAAAATCATTTTTAGAAGTCAAACATTCACTTTCTGTTTAGCTCTGTTTTTGTCTCCACAAGTTCCTGAGGAAATAATTGATGGTTTAGCTGCTACTGTAAGTGTGCTTCTGTGTTCACCAGCTAGTTGTTAACTTTGACTGTCTGCAAAAAACAGTTACTTCTGTAAATATGCTTGACAACAGCGCTTAGACTGAACAAGGTTCTGCTAAAACAATGCTTTAAAAAATGCTTAAAAGCTAAATACAGAGTGTTGCATAGTTGTTTGCGTGGTATTATTTTAAGTGTTAGGTCTATTCATGTCATGTTTTTTAGTTGTTGCTTTAAAAACAAGCGCTTTGCTATTAAATGTATTGTTTAAAGTAAGTAGTTACTTAATTTTATGAAATATAAGGTATTACGGTTGTAATACTTGTTGTGTTTTTGTTGTGCTCCATAACAAAACATAGGTTTTTCATCTTGAAATCCGGTGTTATTGTCCCGTGTTAATCAAAAGTCAACGTTGACTTACGTTAAGCTGCCTACGTTATCTTAAAACAAATGTAACATACGTACGTAGCCTTGGGTGACAAATATACCTATTTTAACACAATCCATAACTTTACCTAAGCCTAACCAAGTAGTTCTGTTGCCTAAAACCTAAAGTAATTTAGTTTTTTCAATTGTGACCTTTTGACAAGATGAGCCCCTGATACTCTCTATGGATCATATATCGTTCTTATAAATCATTGGCAAACTACATATTATTTAGTTGAGGTCACGTTCCTTATTTAAATTAGTGTTTTTGTACTGTTGAATAGGAGAGGACAAGGTAGTTCTGATGAAGAGGAATTTACTGTAAAAATGGGAGGACCTGTTCAGGAAGAGATTTCTCTTTATTATGTGATGGAAGGAGGGCGAAACGAGGCTGCAGACCCTCTGGGACTGTGGGCGGCCAACACTCGAGAAACACTGGCTGCACATGAAAGAAACAAAGAAAGAGCATAACGTGCAGAGTCAGTGAATGCCACTGTCACACTGTAAAACATTTCTGGATCTTATTATGGAGAGGTTTTGCAATAAAACTGAACGGCTGGTGAAAAAAAGGGTGCTGAAAGCGCCATAATGCTTGTAACTCTGATTGAAAACGATCAAATGGATGGAAGGTTTCTAAAAGACCCAAACAAACTATGCTGCTACAGCATCTCGGCTCTATAGGGACGATCTTTTGGTCCAGGCTGAAATAATAAATATTCAATGAAATGCTTTGAAATTTGGCTGAAAGATTCTTGTTCACCCTTGGGTTGAATCGTAATCACTTGGGCGTTTTCGTGAAATGTAAACCTGATAAACATATGGGATTTCCATTAGCATGAGCTTTACTTTGCATTTGATCCTAATTAGCATTCATTAGCATGTTTTATTTGTTTTTAAAGGAGGCATAAGTCTTTACAGTCACAACCTCAATGGAATTCTTAGTCTTAAGCTTTCTATGTCAACTTGTTTCAGTATTCAGGGTAATCGTTTAATGTGAATTTCTTCATTACCTCAATCCAAACCTGAGCAGCCACACCTCTGTGGGCAGGAAAGAGCGAAGCTGCTGCGTGAGAAGAGCTTCATGCTCACAGCTTGGCTCACCTTCTTGCCCAGCTTTGAGTTTAACTTCCTTCCAGTGGGCGGTGTCCCATCCAGCAGCAGAGACACCCACAATAGGACAGCTGCTGTTCATGTGCAACCCAGTCTCATGGCATTTCCTGTTATAGTCACAACATTTAATCTATTGATTCGTGTTCACCAACACGATTTCCCCCTTTTTTTCGTGTCACACAGAACGATTTTAAAAGCAATGTATTTCTATTGGTAGTATGTTTTGTGCCCGCAGCACGTCTTTTTGTCCGTTAGACTGCCAAGGCACACNCAAGAAGAGGCCCCTAGGGTCTCTCTGTTAATTATCAATAGTCCTTGCAATTAACAGGGGAATTCCCAGATACATTTTCAGATATAAGGCAGTTAAAGTCTTGTAGAATTAATGATTTATCTCCGACAGACCCCAAAAGAGGCCTTGAGAATTGAGTCAAACAGTTACCGAGGCCATAGTCTTTTGTTCTCATTAATGTCTGTATTAATTCCAGATAGCTGACTTTTAGGTGAGAAGAAGGTCAGGGAAGGCCTTAGGCCATGGGAACAGTTAAGCTTTGTTATTTACCTAATCCTAAAGATGTCATGAGACGATGACGTTTGGATATTTACAAATATGGCTTTCATAAAGAGAAACATGTGACTGTTGTGTGATAAGATACATGATAGGATGTGTGTGTGTGTGTGTTGAAGATGTTTAGGGGGAATGAGTATTGGTCCTGTCAAAGAGTCCTCTGTCATGACTCCAAATCATTGATTGGGGGATCTGCCTAAGGGCAGAGGGACAAACACACACACACACACACACACACATACACTGTGAAGCAACAGAAGGAATCAACAACTGCGGACTCACTACCTGGGGTCCCGCCCAGAAGGGAAACCGACCAATGGAACACTGCCAACTCACTGGCTAGCTCGCTCAGAAGTGAACTCGCCAATAACAAATAGCTAGGGAAGAGCAAGCGACAAAACTCCTCCCCACCTGTGTATAAATGTTGTGATCATTTTGAAGATCGGCGCTCTTGTTTCTGACTGGCTGTCGTGGTACGTATATCACACGGTGGTAGAACCTGAGCCCGGAGTACTCTGCAGAGTGCTTCGTGATTAGGTGATTACGGTGATTGGTGCAGTAGTGTATTCTTTACCATGAGAAGCAGATCATATAGGAACGGCGCGGAGCGCAGAGGTTCTCCAACCAACACAAACACACACACACACACGACACACCTCTTTATACTCAGTGACTGACTTCCTTCACCTAAGTCATACCATCCAATTATGGCTTAAATGTGCAAATGTATGGCGATGATGCGTCATCTTTGAACATGGAAGAACACCTCGAAATTATCTGACCTGTCTCCTGCTAATGCTTTGGAACAAGTTCAACACTGGCTGAAAACAACAGTTGCTTACAGTTAAATGCAAAAAAAAAGCGTATGCATGATGTCAGTAAACCGACGCCAGTCAAAATCGAGGGATCCAACTGTGTGTTTAAAAGGCCGGAGCCAGAAATGGAACTAGTCCGCCCACTTCAAGTATCTCGGAGTCATAATGGACCGAACTTGCTTTTAAGAAACATATGGTGAAGAAAGTATCCATACCATGTAAATTGCAACGTGTGGGCAACCACTTTAAACAAATTAACCTTGT